TCTTCTATTTTATAAAACATATAAAATATTATTTTTTACTCGTTATTTGCAAAATAAATGCAGTTTATGACTGCTTATAAAACATTCGATTCGTTTTACCGCTCCAATATGGACGACGTTGGAGTAACTTTCCTATTGGCTGTTAAGAAACGATACGCAAGAGCACACCTGTATTCTTACACCATGCTTGTTAGATTTCGCCAAATTAAGTGCCCATTGGCGAAGACATCGATCGATTACTATGTGTGATGGTTGCTAGAAATTTATTGTGTACACATTTTTGTTGATCTCTCCAATAATTCACTTTTTTCCGTTTTTGATTCGCTGAGCCCAAAGGCGCAAATTGCAGCACTGTTTGTCGATGTAACTGTACTTTTTAGATACCAATTCTGGTTTTTGATTTTTGGGAAATTTATTGTTATCAATGATAATCGGTCATCATCGGTCAACTCTGTCTTGATACGTCCAGTATCCGTAAGCCTTTAAAAACTGTTCTTAAGTAATAAAAGCTGCACTCTGGCGTGGCTTTTTTTCTGATAATTTTGAAACGTAGTCTTCATTGAAATCGTCTGATTTATTTGACGGAGGTTTCAAATCTTCGTCAACGTCATCAGAGCGGTCAATATTCAAAGTGTGGTACCTGTCTAACATTAATTCCTGATCATTAAGCTGTTGGCTTATCTGATTACATATCATTATTTCGTAACCGTTGAAGCAAGACTCTGAATTAATTAGTTGGTTAATGATGTGAGTCGAGATCTTGTGCTTTTGGTAAAGCAATGCGATAACTTTAATAACGCTAATTAAGCGTGGATTATCAAAACGCAAAATAAACATAATACAAACTTTTATTGTAAACAATCATACGAGACAGATCAAGAAATAGAATCTATAAAGAAAAAGTTGTCGATAATACGACCGAAGACAAAGAAGATCAGGAGGACACCGGTGATCAGAAAGACGCGGACATTATCAATTGTGTCCAATTGCACCGTGTCCAATTGAACTATGTCCAAGTGCACCGCTCCCCGGATCGTCTACTGATCTTGCTTTCATTGAACGGATCGTCTACTGCTCTTTATCATCCACTGATCTTGTCTTCATCGGCCGAATGGTCTACTCATCTTACCTTTATTGGCCGGATTGTCTACTGCTCTTGCCTTTATCGTCCATTGATCTTGCCTTTGTTGAACAAATCGTCTACTGATCTTGCTTTCGTTGGCCGGAATGTGTTTCTCAAACTAAAACCTTTGAGCGCTATTTTGCATCTGTTGGAGAAAGTTTAGCAAAAATGTACCAGAAACAAAATTTCATCATTTTTTCCATAGAATACAAATCTACAATAAAATATAAACTTCTATTTAAAAAATGAATCTATCACTTTATTTGGCTCAAAGTGAGCACTGGATCTAAAATCTGATTTAACTTATTTGATAATCTTTTTCAAACCTTACAACTTTTGTTTGACACATTTTTCGAAAATGCATTATTTTTGAGATAATTTGGTATCTAAGTTAAAGTAGCCAAACATGTATCCTAAGTCGGATATAAAATCTATAGAATCCCAAGATTTAACCATCTAGAATACTATTTCAAACGTGATCTTTTGACTGGTAACGTTACTTTTTTTATATCACTTTTGCAATTTGGAATGTTTTTTTGTGAGTACTTCTTCTTACTTTATTATTACAAACTGTCATCCACATGGTAATTACACTTCTTTTAATACATACATGTTATTACGGACTACATGTACGTTATAGATTTAACACGCTTACCAAAACCAGTTTTTACCATGAATGATTAACCGCCACTCTTACCTCATTTTGCGTTACACTTTTATATTGCGACTGCTACTTGCTATTTATATCTTTTATTATTATTTATATCTTTGATTGTAACTTGTGAAAAGAATGAAGAAGACTCCGGTGTTCGAAATATTTTGCGTTACTCTTTTATGTAATTTCTTTTATTAATAAAATCTTGACTTTTGCTTGACTGACCTTAAGTTTTCAATTTGTTTTTTCAACACAAGCGTTTTTCAGTTGTTACAAATGATATACACAATTTTTGTAATAACAACATTAAATTAAATTCTATACATTTACAGTGTTACGTCCCGTGGACTCCACTTCCTCCTCGCGACGTGACAACAACGAGATATGATATCACGGGAACGCTGCCGTGCGATACTGGCGCGAGACCGGATATCAATCCTTGATAAAATCAAGAAACACAGAGTTTGGAAAATTTCTGTTTTTCTTTCTCGATAAATTTTCATTTTTTTCAAATCTTAAACGGAAACATACATCCCGGGAATATGAAATCAAGGGAAATCCGACGGATAACGAGAAATCGGGTGATCCCGAGTTTCCCGAGCCGCGGGTATAAAAAGAGCCCCCGCAGGGCTCTTCGAGTCAGAATAAAACAAAATTTTCCGAAGTGCGGTCCTTGGCAATACGCGAGCAAAATCAGTGATCGAAAGAACAATTGTGTTGTGTTGTGTGGATCCTGTTGGAGCTCGCTCGAGACCGCTGCCGCCGCCTCTCTGTTGCTACCACGTTGCTGCCGCCCAGTACAACCGACGATAAGTAGTAAGTCCCAATATTAAGTCGCAAATACTTGTGCCTCACGCCGCGATCAGAAAGATTCTTTGCTAGTTGTCAAAATTTGAAGGTAGTTACGAGAACGGTTGCTCCCCTTGTCTTAAACAAGCTAACGCTGATAAGGGTTGCAAACGATTCGCAAAAATCGTCAAGCAACTCTCAGCGCGCGCTCCCGCGCTCGAACATAAAATCGCGGAAAAGAAACAGCGAATAAACTTCGGCAGCAACCGATCTCTAAAACCCGTGCCACTAGAAACTTACAATCGCGAATTTTAAGTGGACTCGCCCGTTCCCGAAAAACGGTGGACGTCGAGAAACGCACTCAAAAGCTATCGACAAAAAGCCGCAAAACGGGCCTGGAAACAGGCTGAGGCACGAGAACAAACACCAGCCGAGACTCCCCTCACCGTACGAGACACCCCGCTAGGAAGTAGCGAGAGCACCAATAACAATCATAATAACTACACCGACACACCACCAGAATTGCGAACTCAGTCGCCTCCCCCGCGCTCTTCTCCACTCCGCCCTTCGCCACCATCCTCGCCCGAACCAGAATATTTAGGCGAGTGCCCCGCTGACCCCTCTCGTTCGCGCACCTTCCCCCGTCCTCTCCATTTTTTAGCACTCGTCTTTGCTTATAAAATCACCACCCCTACCTCCACCGCGTACATAGTCGATCCCGAAAATCTCGATCCCCCCGAACTCCACCGAATAATCTCAACCTACCTTCCAGATGCCCTTCTCACAGTTAAATTCCCCCTCCTTTCAGAACACAGGTTAGTCCCTGTGAAAGATTTTTATAAACTTTTCCCCTCTGCTTCTTGCAAAATAACTGAAATTATAGAAGTCGAACTGGACTGAGTTCGCAATACTAANAAATAAAAATGTATAAATCATCATCATCATAAACCATAACATTGTAAATAAAATCCTACACACACATATGTCAACCCTACACATAAAATTATGACGAACAAATATATACATTCGAGCATAAATATTGTCTAAACATTTATTAATCGACCTCTTACCCACCATCCCGCACCTTTTAAACAGATCGCACAGTCTCGTCCCAGGCAATTGAGATTTGCGTCTCAGGCCTTAAAAAGAGACACACGAGCGAAGTCCAAAGAGCGGCACACGACCGTTGACCCGTCCGCCGGACCCGAAAGATCGCTCGACTCTCGCACGCACACACGACCGTTTCTCCAAGTGTGTGTGTCGAGAGATAAAAAAAAAATTCGACTAGTGTTACGCTCCGCTCATGCCCGACCGTTTCCAGGGGCCAGGACGTAACAACAGTAAATCCTACATATTTAGTAAACACTAAAAATGTTTTGATACTATTTTTTATTAGACTAACAAGAACACTAAAATTTTAATAATAATGTTATTAATATAGAATTTATAATAAAGTACATAATAAATAAATAAAAACAAATAAATAAAAGTAATAATTTTGATAATAAGATATATTAACTAAGAAAAATTAAAAAAAAAATGTAAGTTAGCTTTTTCTTAGAAATTTGTATATGTATTCGTACAAACTTTTTAAATGCAAATTTAAAATATTTTCGGTAAAAGTTCAATATAAAAGAGAATGCTTCAATAATCTTGACCTTGACATATGTTGTCAAGAATACTTTTTTGAGTACTCCCCAAGAGACTTTAGCCATTGCTCATTGTTCATTAAAAAGTTGTTAATAAAAACTATAATCACACAAATGATTGTCAGAAATCAACAAAAAAAGTTGAAAATTTGATAACTTATAAACTCATACAAATTTTAAAGCTCGTTGAAAGTTAAACCAATATAAGGCCTTACGAGCCGTTTCCAAGATGTTGAGCGGAAACTGTGCGTGTATACATATATATATATACATGTAACGAATTCAACTTGTAAATTTTTACAAGTGAGTGTTTTTTAAATTGAAATCTCAATTCTTAAATTTATACGGGATGCTGGATTTGCATCTCACATATAAGAGACCCCGGATACCCCCCTAACTAATTTTAAAATATTGCGAAAAAAACTCCTCGGCCAGGAGTCGAACCTGGAATCTCCGGCTTTCCGTGCCATCGCCTTCCCTGTTAGGCCACCGAGGCACTTAGAGTTATAAACCCATGTTACGCATAGAAAGTGTGATTGTAAAGGCAGTGTGTTCCGCTCCCTTTACAGGAAGACTCCATTATCAAAAATTAGACACATAGATTTAAGGTAATCCTCGCTTTGCGTGGAAAGTTGGAAACCCGTAGAAAATCTTGCTTGCAATAAGCGACGACTAACAAGGGAAGAGTACCCGTAAGGTCACCGATTTTGATTAAAGTTTGCAGATATGTAGTATTACTGGAAGAGTGTCAAATGTTATCCGGAGACAATACATTACTCAAGCGTTTTCGAGAAATCGCGGTTTGAAGTTTTACACGATGCTTAAGTAACTTTGGGATAAAACGGTTTTCGAAGTAGCAGCGTAGCGCACACACACAGCGGACAAGGTGCCGCGCTAAGAGTCTAGAGGTCGCATTTCGCGCCATACTGGTTTTGTGTTTTATTTTTTTTTTTTTAACACACACACATATTTCTTTTATTATTTATTATTTATTTTACTTATTTAATGTTATTTTTATAAGAAAAATATTTAAAATAAAGATAAGTATTTTAAAAAACTGTTTTTCTTTATGTGTTGGAATACAAATGGATATATGTATATATATACACGGTGTCCCAGAATTGGTGTGACATCTCTTGTAGGCAGGTAGAAGGAGTAAAACTGAGTCGAAAAGTCCTGAACCATTTTTTCTGTTATTTATAATAAAGGAGTAATTGTTGAGTAAATCAGGCCAATCAGCGCCGATCTTTAGCCAGGCGCACGTCAGTGAACTGCGCGAAGCGCTTACACACACCAGGCGCGGCAGCTTGCTGTTTGGTACGTTACATCGCGTCAATTATCAATCAGCTGATCGCGGAGAGCAGTGGCTTCTTATCTCTCGAACGCTGCTCGCTCTCTTGAGTATCGCCCATAGATGCCAGATCGTGCAGGACAGCAACAAGAGCATCGAGGGGCAGAGCCCCCACCGCTCAGCTTCTCGATGCTACGCACACAAGTGAGAACCGCGTACGTGTACGTGACACTCAGCTGTGGAAGAGTGCAGACATATTATTTTCTGTCTCCTTTCCACCAAGTCGGCCACAAGGCAACGCACATTGCGCGCTTGTTACGTATGACAACGCTTTTCGAGACTTAGGCTGCGTTCCGATATTTACTGCCAGTACTAACAATCTATAGCACATGTGACGTAAAGATATAGATTTTTTTAAGTACTGGCAATGAATATCGGAACGCAGCTTCATAATCTTGTAAAAAGACATATTATTGATACAAATAAAACATCTCAATATATACATTACATATTTTCTTTGTATAAATTATTACTATGATATTTAACAGTGAGAAAAGGGTGTCTAAATGAACGGTGCGCATTATTACGGTGTCTAAGTAAACGGTGCGCATCTTTCTGTGTTTAAAGGAACGATGCGCAATTGAACGGTGTCTCAATGGAACGGTGCGCATTTTCTTCCGTGTCCAAATGCAACGTGTCTAATTGAACCGTGTCTAAAATTTTGTGTCTATTTGCACTGTGTCTAATTGCAACGTGTCTAA